CTTCATTAGTTTAACTTTCCAATTATTCCCTTATCTATAAAAATAATTCTTTGTTTAAACCCTTTTTGTAATTTAGTTTTTAAAGAATTCATAGCATTCCTTGTGAAAGTGGCTTGACACATATTATCAAATTAAACAGCGTTAAAATTTAGCATCAAGAACTGCGAATCCTATGTCAGGAAAAGAGAAATAAAAAGCATTCAACAGCTAGTTCAAACTGGTCCCTTAATCACAATTTCAACATTAGTTCCACTAAAATTTTCTCAAAAACGTTTTTAATTGGTAACTTACTTTTTTTTGAAGCTGTCCACTCTCAGAAAAATAAACCTGTTTTAAGGGTATTAATTCCAAGCTAGGTTTTCGAAGAAGCTTTCAAAATTTATAGTGTCTGAGCTCCAACTTTTTTCTTTTATTCCTTTTTATTTGATTAGATGGCGCTAGCTAAGATTAGTGGCGGTTACAAGCTGGTGATCAAACTGACAGTCCGCGAAGCAATTTTATGCGAGATATTTCAATTGTGCATTTGCTGCAAAGATTTTCATGATTTTAGTTATTTGAAGTCCAAGTTTATATATTTTAATTTTCGTTAAAAACAAACATGAACAATGCACCAGAAAATATGTAAATGGAGATAATTATTGTATAAAGTAATATAAATCTTATTAAAAATTTGAAGCTAAACATTTTAATAACTTTTATTTGTACCTGTCAAAAAATAGAGAAGCTCAGTGATAAATTTTTGCACTAGGAATAATCGTTTTGTTTGCGAATGAACAGCTTTTTTAATACAGTTGAAAAATAAAAAGGATTAAAAGGATTGACCAATCTACAATCCGTCAGCTACAAGCTTTATCAGAATCAAAAAAGCACCAAGTGTCAAGCTGGTAGTAAGAAATAAAGAAATTTATAATTATTTACATACCAATTCACAATATTTTTATATGTCTACAATATTTATTTGCATAATAGTTTACAAAATTTGCGTATGAAGTTTATAATTAGTTACATACCAGTTTAACAAATGTACATATAATGTTTATAATTATTTACATACCAGTTCACAAAATTTACATATGAAGTTTATAGTTATTTATATACCAGTTTACAAAATTTACACATGAAGTTTATATTATTTACATACCAGTTTACAAAATTTATATATGAAGTTTATAATTATTTACATACCAGTTTACAAAATTTATATATGAAGTTTATAATTATTTACATACCAGTTTACAATAGTTCACAATAACTTACATATGTTAATTCAGAATTCAAACAACAAAAATCAGCGTTATATTTTCAAAATTTTCACAGGACTAGTTTCGATGGTTTTACCGAACCACCATCCTCAGCTGCAAAACCGCAATATAACGCTGATTTTTGTTGTTTGACTTCTGAATTAGTATTTATTCGGCGTGTTATTGTGTCTTAACTTACATATGTGTTAGACAATTAATAACTTATATACGTTACATACAATTAATAATTTACATACAATTAACACAATCAATTACTCACATACGATTAATAACTTATATATAAATAAATATTTATTAGACATTTTAATTAGAAATACAATGTTTCAAAGAATTTTAATTATTTTAAGTTAGCGTTTATCTATTTTTCATTTTCATTAAAAATGAGCATGAATAACGCACCAGAAATTCTATGGAACTAATTAATTTACAACATGATATAAATCTTATTCAAAGATTTTAGAACACAAATTTGATTAACTTGTCAAAAAATAAACTCAGTTACAAATTTTTTCACAAAGAATAATCGCTTTTTTGGGAATAGGTTATTTAAAAGAACAGCTTCCCCCCCTCCCCCGCGGTTGAAAGTCGATAAGGAAAAAACCTGATTGACTGATGAACATCTGTCCGTGAAGATAGTTTCTTTAGTAATTTTTCGCCAAGACCGCAAAATTTACTCGAATTGAAGCACCATCTGTCAAGCTCTAGGAAGGAATAAAGAAGTCTATAATTATTTACAAACAAACATACACATTTTTATTTATGCTTCGAAGAAAAGTTAATAAACAAGAGATTAGGTTGTTATTATTTATTCTCAAGTTTTGCCCCACTTAATAAATTTTATCTGAAAACTTTTCGTAAATCATTTAAAGATTAATTAAACACATTAGAATTAATTGAAAGAAATGTCAGCCTAAGAGTTTAGTATTTAGCTGTCAAATATATTTGAAATACTCGTATGAAGTGTAACCAACAAAAATGTCTTGCAGGTGCCAAACTTTAGACGTCAGATAGAAAATAAATAAATTTGAATTTTTTCGCTTTGAGTTATTACTATTGTTTTTGCATGTTTTGATAAATGTTTAGTAAGCGAAACTTAAAATTTATTAAAACTATTTTTTACTTAATCAAAAATTGACCGTCAACTGTTATCATATCGTCCACTCCACTAACATGCAGTGAGTGTGAGACCAGTAGCCTAGATCTCACTTCAAATATTTGTGGTTGTAATACTTTTATGTAACATTCCATGAACTTTCAAGTAGAACGTTTTTGGCACGTACTACCAGAATGTTCCTGGAACATTTTGGAAAAACGTTCTAAACCAAGTCTGTATACTGCTGTTCAATAACGGACGTCAAAAAATGATACTACTAACACTTGTGTATAACGTTGCTAGAACGTTATGAATGTTCCTGTAATGTTCTGGAGAACGTTCTGAATGATGTCAGTAGGTTACAGCTTTATAGAGAACAGCAGAATATCAAAATGTGGCACTATTAACACTTTTGTGAAACATTCCTTAAGTTCTGGTAGAACATTTTGAATATCGTTTCAAAAGTACCTGTGTTGTCCGCTAAAATGTCTGTCCTAATACTGTTGTAACACATGACGTTTAAGCACGCTCAGTAGAACGTACTTGATAGCAGATGCTGAAACTTTTCGAAAAGTATCAGTGTTGTACTTCGGAATGTACGTAATTAAAAACACGGTTGTAACAGGAACCACTTTTAGCACGTCATATAGAATGTTCTGTATACACATAATATTGCGATAGAGCAAGCGATACTCTCTCTGAACGCGTTCTGAGCGTTTCGATGCTGTTTGAGATGTTGCTAAGTTTCAATTTTTATCAAAAGATTAATTGTTCAGTTTGTACATTTGTCAAAATGGACAAGATAAAATAAGAATTTTTACTGAAATTATTCATTACAATTATGCGTGTTTATTGCCCAAATATCTAAAATTTAGAATTTAAACCCACGTTGCTGACACCTAGTTCAGAGTATCCAAAGACGTTTAAGGCAATATACGCAATAGAACTTTATGTTAGGGATAGTAAAGCAACAAGAATCAACTTAAAATCCCTTCAGTTCTAATCAATAGTCCCAATTCCAATCTATCTTTACTTTCAGATTTTAAAGCAATTATTTTACAGTTTTTTTTTTTTTTTTTGTCAATAGATGGCACCAGTAGTTTTATTTATTTCTTTAGTGGAACATTCTTTAGTTTTTTGTGCTTGTTTATCGCATGGATATGCTTTTTCTTCGTTGTTTTCATTCCTGCAGCTGAAGAAGCAGGTTCTATTTTACCTTGTAAACTTAGTCTATAAATTTACATAGCATAAGCTGATTCTTGTTGTTTTAGTACCTTAATTTGTTCTTTGGTTTGTTATTTTAGATAGTCATAAAATTTTAATTATCAGGACTCTACTTACCTTGAACTTCAGGTGCTCGATCATTTCTTCTTTTTTCGAATCCATGTAAATGAAAGCTTGTTGTTAATTTATTAACATGTTTAAAATTTTTTTGGTGAGTTAATTCAGTGACTTTAGCTGTACTCAGCAAAATCTTGGGATTCCACGCAACACCTGTAAAGGAGCAATTCAGAATCAAAATTCGTAAGAATTTTTCAGTACCACATGGACTTTTCTATCCAAAACATCCTAGATAATTAATTAAATAATATTTTTTATTTATATTTTTTTCCCGTTGCATTTAAGTTTAACTAACAGTTAATAGTTTATTTTTGAGTTTTTCATTTACGCTCCGTTTCGTCACGTATTCGCTAAGTCCAGAGGCTTATGCAGATTTCAAGGCAAATGGAGTCGTTTAAATCGAGAAGAGAAACCGTAACTGGCATCACCCTGCAGTACAGACTTATGTCTGTTGCTGCTGTCTTTCTTGTCTTGCCTGACTGATGCGACTCTTATATAATCCTTGAACATTAAGCACGGTTTTGGCAAGTATGAACTTTCAAACAAAGTATGAACAAGAGAGTTAGATTGTCTGACCGATCTGAGAATTGTATCTTTGAGTAGACCCTTACGAAAAATGTTTATAGTGGCACCTACTCCGTTGGGAACTTCTGTTTTGAAGCATTCTAAAGGAGTTGAACACAGTTTGTTTTACAAAATTTTGTATGGCATTTTCATAAGGAAGCTCTGGCGCTGCAGCCAGTTAATTTATTGCACGTTCCAGCCAGAAACTATAAGTAAAGAGAGAGTTCCTGTTTGTATTATAAGGAGTGTGTATTATTTATTATTATTATTATTATAAAGAAGACTTAGATTTCATGTTTGTATTATTTCAAATTAAGTAGTGAGAAAATAAATTTGAGTTTATAGTATTTTACATTCATTGTGTCTGTTGCTTCCACACGAACGTATGTTGTTCTTCCAACTTCTGTTGTTTATGTGTCTGTTGTTTAAGTTAGAGAACGTTTAAAGAGTGCTGTATTTAAGTATTTTTAGTATAACGAAATTTTTACTTAGCATCTAAATGCACTTGCATATAAAAGACCAAACCATAAGGAGAGATTTAAGGAAAGTTACAGCTTTCCTGAAAGCTGTACCTGACACGTTACGCTAGGTATTGTTAAGTGTTATAGATAACATTTTTGCTATTTTTCGGACAAGCAACACCTGTAATAACTAAGTGATAAAAACATGTCTTCTTTAACATATCTTTTCATAAAATCACAGACTAGAAAGTTAAAATATTTATTTTTGTTCATTTTCAGGTACATCCACTCAAAAGAGAAACCTTTCAAGTGCACGGAGTGTGGCAAAGGCTTCTGTCAATCCCGGACACTCGCTGTCCACCGTATTTTACACATGGAGGACTCACCACACAAATGTCCAACTTGTGGACGGACCTTCAATCAACGCAGCAACCTCAAGACCCATCTCCTTACGCACACGGATATAAAGCCTTACAACTGCGACTCCTGTGGCAAAGTGTTCAGGAGGAATTGCGATCTCAGGAGACACACGTTAACGCATACTCTGGGTCTGCCAGAGGCCCCCTGTGAAGAAGGAGCTATGTCGCCTTCTAACAGTTGTGATCGCTTTTACCCGGGTGAAGACGACGACGATGATGATAGTCATTCTCAAGAAATTGTCGTCGATGTCGAGAACTGATAACCAACTCCAAATCCTCCCTGTTTCGATGTAGTATTATTAATTTATAGATTGTTATTCAAAAGATTATTGAATGTAATACCCATTTTAATCAGTAAACTTAACCCTTTAGCTCCCCAAAAGACGTCGTCAGTAAAAAGGTTTATTTGCTTGTCTCATGGTTAACATATTAGTAATGCGTTACAATAGTACGCCGAATAACAACTTTCGGAAATATACGAATATGTAACTAACGCGTGAACAAAATGCCAAAATATACGAAGCCACCAGTGTTGAGAAAATAAAGTTACTAGCCATTGCACAAGCGATATTAAAATGGTATTGCACAAAATACACAAAAGGCAATGTTATGGCACTTTACAAGTGATACCACACCAAGAAAAGGCCAATACTGATGAAACGCTGCGTTATATTTTGAAATTTTCGCTACGGCATCCTATTTACGTATGTATGCAAGAAAATCACAACCTTATATTTTATAGAACTTTGAGCAGGGGTTTCAGTGTTAAACCACCGGGAGCGAAAGGGTTAAATTTGAACTCAAAGCAGCTCCACAGATACCAGGAGAGATAAAAGCTTTCACTTATTTTCCCAGATTTATATATATAATTTTTAGTTATAATCGCACTTACGAGTTTTGTTACAAAATATACAGCAAAATTTTAGCATAAAAATAATAATAATGGTGAGAAAAAAAAATAGCAATGGAATTAAATTAATTCCATATTAGTATAACTAGAAATATATAAATAAGCATTTTCATTAGTATTTTAATAAGAAAAGTTCAAAAGTTTTTCTATGAACTCTTCACAATGTCTTTAATGCATAAGTTCATTTAGGAGCTGTTCATAACATGTCTGGAAATTATTTAATCTATAGCGTACCCCTAATCTTAATATTCGAAGGACATCCTCAGTTCATTAAAAGAGAACGTACAAATGTTAAATTTAATAAAATAGTTTTTTGTGGTAGATTTTTTTTTCCAATAGTGACTCCCCCCCCCTCCCCAAGAGAAAATGAAATGTTCTGCAGAATTTTTTTACCTGTTAAAGAAGTCAGACTTCTGTCTGATCGCCTTCAAAATCGGTAAAATTGTTTAAAATCTACGGCAAATTAAGGTTACTTTTTTGCCTGATTTTAATTAGTTGATTGAAATCGAAACCAAGCTATTTGGCTACTTAATACCACACTTGGTGACATTTCTCTGTCACTTGGCAATATTTATAATCTATTTTGTTCTTATTTGGTGACTTAAATTTAATTTCAAAAATTTTTTCTCTAATAGTTTGATGAGCGGAACTTCGGTAATTCGATAAAAATATCCAAATACTAACATTAATCGCGATCACATTAACCGGCATCTACTGTGTTGTAGCCTTGTGAAATCAGCAATGTTAATTTCATTTTTTAAACCAAGAATTGGAAAACCTATTTTTGGAAGGTTAATTTAATATTACTCCTGTTAAATTAATATCATGAAGATAGTTGAACAATATGGAATTATTTTTGCCAGTATTTCATTCAGCAATTCCATCTTATGTCTCTTCTGGGTCCGCTTACTTCTCTGCTTTATTTTTGTATGTAACAACACACTTGATTACACAGAGGTTAGGTTTGCATATGTAATAGATATTGTACAGATTGCAGTGCTATTAATTTTATTAAAATTGTACATTTTGTGTAATATGTAGTGTTTGTTTATATTTAGTGTGTAATATTTAGTGTTCCTGGTGTGTGTAGAGGTATTTTTTTATCGTGAGGGAGGAATAAGTAAAACCTAGAAGTGCACTAAGGTTACCCAGATTTATTTTAAAATAATTTTTATGAAATGACGTGTTTTTTTCTAAAATATTTTTACACCTTCTATAGAAGCGTCTGTTTTGCATGCAGAGGCACCTAAAATATGGAAAGATGAAATTCTAATTTTTTGATACCACACATACGATACAATTTCGGAAAAAGTTGCCATCACAGGAACGAAAGTTGTGATTCCAATTAAACTTTCTTTTAATATTTTGCAATAGAATTTCAATTAATCGAATTTGGATAACTTGAAATTTTCATTTAAGTTGACTGGAATGTTTGCTCTTTGTGAAATGTATAGAAAGTTATTAAGCTTTCCTCGATAAGTCGAATTTTTGTAAATCGATAAATCGAAAAACTTACTAAGTCGAACTTTCTCGAAGAATGCTAAAATTATTTTCTTTACATTTTTTTTTTTAGACAAGCCGGAGATATCTCCTAATGACAGAACTTGTTACAAAGTCTTTTCCGGAATGTTACTTTTGTTATGTTTTGTTAGTATGTTGCCAGGAATTTATCATCCACGAAACGTGCCAATGCTGCCTTTTCGTAAAACTTAAGAACTTTGATTTATATTTAACGCGACCTTGTAGGCAATCAGTTCTGAGAATGTTACCATTTATCTTATAAGCAGTAAACAAGTTTCTTAACCAGTTAACTGTGATTGACGAGTATACTAGTCATGCGAATATTATGTTAATGAAATGGAGAGATAAGAGGGAGGTTTATTTAGTAAGTACTGTACATAATGACAACGTAATAGAAACAGAGAAAAAAAAATAACAACAAAACCGGAACTAGTGATTGATTACAATAAAAAAAGGGTGGAATGGATATGAGCGATGAAATTATCATAGCATACTCCACAGCGAGAAAACGACTCAAAAAGTACTACAAACAGATATTTCTCCATTTCTTAGACATTATGTGTTTGAATGGATTCATATTATATAAAAAAAATAATGGATCATTATCGCGTATCAACTTTTTGCTCAAATTTATTGAAGATATTTTTGCGACGTATCCAATTGAAAGAAATAAATGGACACAAACTCGGCCATTTAGACCTAATATAAGCCAATTAGGCGGGAATCATGTTCCGGATTACGTATATACCCGAGACGTCGAAAAAAAAAAACAACCCTACGCGAAGGTGTTCGCATTGCTACAAACGGTAAAATCAGGAAGGAATCCCGTTACTGGTGTTCGATTTGCAATGTCCCATTGTGTATAGTACCCTGTTTCGCTGAATATCACTTCACAGTAGTCATTTAAATTCTTACTTTTATACTATGTATAATATTTAATTTAATTTATTGCGGTTTTAGTTTAATATGTATGTAATATATGCTTATGTTAAACAAATAAGTAAATATTAGTAATAAAATTTTCAATTTTATAAAATAAACCCATCTTTTTTCATCCAATGTCTTACCAGCGCAACTTACTCTGTGACTGACGAATATACTCGTCATGGCTCGATTCTGGCGACAAAAAACGGTGCGCACTCTTAAACGACAGCGCCACAGTTAACTGGTTAATGATCAAACTTAATTTTTTATAAACATATCTTACTGATATAATTTAAAATAAAATTCATTTAATTTATAATACATTCTAATAAAATTTGTTATGAACATTTACAGTATATTTGTAATTTTAATAAAAGGTGTTTCTAGTATGTATACCGTATTTCCTTGCGTATTTTTGCTCTTTTTTTAAACTAATTTTATGTCCAAAGATCGAGAGGAGAAAATTACCCGAATAATTAATTTCCAAAGAACGCGGTTACAATAAGAATATTGCAAAAGCAAAGCAGTAATGGACTGCACGCAACTATCAGAATATTGTAATGGACTACAGGCAACTATCAGAATATTGTAATGGACTACTGGCAACTATCACAAAACTACTGGCAACTATTAAAATATTATTTTTTAAAAGAAACCTACATTCCAATAAAAATACATATTGACAATACAAAATCAAATAAGATAGCTTCATTTTTGCTTCCCGTAATTTGAAACACGCTCGTTTTTACAGTTACTCCTGCTACTTCTTAAGCCTCAAATCATGTATAAATACTTAAACGTAGATGGTGCATGTGCAACTGTGTTAGCGAATAGACGGAGACATACATAGACGGTGCATGTGCAACTGATTTAGCGAAATCTTAGAATAAATGTTACTTTGTGTTGGTTTTGCAGGGACGGGTATGTTCCTGTATTAGGCTCGCATAAAGTTCAACAGTTAGAAGGGAAAGGTTCGACCTGACCTTTGCAGGTAGTCTACGAAAGTTTGTCTTTGTTAGTAAGAAGAAAAAAATCACTATGTGGATAAATTCATTTTAAAATTAAAGGGAGCTCGCACTCTGACCGCATTGAAGAAAGAGAAAATTACTCGAATATTTTTCACATTTCTAGAAACTGACGCTAAATAGGTATCAAGAGAAATACGTGAGAAGACACGGTTTATATATATATATATTTTTACTATGTCACTAAAAATGTCACAAAAATCCTGTTATTTTTTAAAAATTTCACCAACCTTTTTTTTTTTTTAAAAAAAATCTGAGGCCGTAATGTGCAAAATCCAAAGTATGCATCTTAGTGTAACACTTATACTTCCTCACAAAATGTAAAAACTATAAATGTAGTCAACATTCAACTATACAGAATCCACAGAATCATTTGACTGAACTATGGAAAGAAATGTAATGATTTGTAATATAAAATTATATGTGTGATGTTCGTTGATCTGCTATATTTAAAACAAGGCTGCTTTTTGTGGTAAGCAGTACTAAGTTATTATTATCTATTTTTCTGTCAATGCATTTCTGAATGTTGGTTAAAATTTAACTTATATAAGGAAAGAAGTTGAAGTGAGTTTCTTGAAAAATTTACCGGAATGTTGTTTTCAATATGTACTGAACTTTGGGTTCAAAAGTCTATTTGAAAAAATGATTGTGTGGAAGATATGTTAGAAATAAAATATATTGAACCAATTTGTATTTTTTTTTTCTTTTTACATCTAAATATGATCACTGTTTGAAGTTATGACTATTGTATAATGAACAGTAGATTTCTAGAACGTAATGATTTATCTGCCCAACGGTAAAGACCTCTTAAGTAAAAAAAAAAAAAAAAAAAAAAATCTGATGCGGCCACCGCGTGAGTTCCTATACATATTTCTTGCACACATCGTTTACACTTATTTCCGCTAATTTTTCTAATTTTATTAACCTATTCCTGGAGGCAAGTTGCAAAGGACAACAAAAATTGCAAATTTTGAATTAAATATTTCGGACAATTTTTGTCGTACCCGAATCAAGCTTTTTATAATTTTAATTTTTTTTTTTATAACCAGTATAAAAATTTTTCAAAATTAAGTATAGTGACTGGGACACCGCATTAAAGCTATATTTGTTTATTTGTCCAATTTTTTTTTTAATTTGACATTGCTAAAACATGAATATTTGCGCCATTTAAAACACTTGTGTAATTGAAGTATATGACTAAGACAACGACTGCGCGAATAAAGACCGGGTGAGATATTTTTAAGTAACAAGTAACTTAAAATAGAACATAATTATGTTAGCCTAACACCTTTCCACAGGTCACTTAACGCGCAGGCAAGCTCATAAAAGTTGGCGTAAACAAGCCTAAGGTTAGAAGCGCTCAACGCCACAGAAATCTAATTGCTAATAAATCAAAGATATCATCGTGGCCTTCGGGCAGTCAGAACACGCTCTCTGTCTTTCTCTCTCTCACTAAATTCACATTGCAGAACCTCCCCTTAAATACTAACTTCTTTCTACCTCATTAATATAAACGCACGCTACATCATTTACATTCTGCCAAGAAAGCGTAAGCTGAAAGCGCGAGTGATAGGAAAATTGCTTCGAAATAAATTAAGTATTAAATAACTTAAATAAATCCCCACAAATAACTAAAAAGTGAAAAAAAGCTGTATTATTATATTCAGACTCTTACGTTGTTAAAAGAACGTTAAGTCTTCTTATGAAAATACACTTTCTCCGGGTAAAGTATAATAGATTAAAATTTTTTAAAGTTTTATATTTTTAATAGGTATTTGAAAATTTCACTTGTATTTTCATCTATAAGACTGATACTACTGCTTATGTTTTTAGCCCAAAGGACGTTAGCCCAGAAGAACTATTAATTTCGTTTTGGCATTTTGCGTTGATTCACTATAAATATCGGCTCACTTTTCAAATTGTTGCCATCAAATATTATTGCCCCGTGTTATATTTAAAGAAATTAAAGAAAGTGTTGCCGCTGCTCGCTTTGAAATCGTTGAGTTTTTAATCAAAAATCGTTAAAGTTTTACAAAATATGAAATAGGCAATGAAACAAATTTGAGTTTCAAAATTAAGGCTTCCAAGTGCCCATATTCAGGTGGAAACCTACGTTATTCAAAATTTGATGGCTCTCGGTCGTTGTTCTTTCACAGTGCAAGGAACATACATTCGTGCAGATTCTTCATTATTTAATTTCTTTAAGTGTAATACAGGACGATAATATTTGGTGGCAACAATTTTAAAAGTGATTTTACCCTTTTAGTGATTCGACGCAAAATGCTGTTTCGAGACTAAGAGCCCTTCTGTATTAACACCTCTTTGGGCTAAAAAATCTGAAAGAGTTGAGATTTTAACGATTGTCCGAAAAGGCTTTTCTAAGGTTTAATGTGGTTTATCAGTAGAGATTATCAATAGATATTGCTCAAGTGAAATAATGAAACATTTTAGAGGATAGTAGATGAATACACATTTAGACTAACATGAGAACGTTCTATATCTTTTGTACTATATCTATTTCATTAAAAATTATTGCATATTTTTGTCTTTTTTATTATAACTTTCTTAGGTTCCTGGCCGCTCGAGCGTTAGATTTCTAAGGAATAATAGAATATATATACATATATATAAAACAAAAGGCAAGACCTTAGTCTCGTGTAAAGATATGCTTGTTTTAAATACTTTGTGATTTTGTTCTTGAGTTTTAAAGAATAAATCTAAAAAATTGAAAAAAAAAAAAAATGTTAGCAGGAGTGAGTCTAAGAGCAGATTTGTAACCTGCGTTGCGCAACGACAGCATTAAAAACCTTAACAAACCCTGTGATGCGATGTTAAAATCTGAATTCTTTAAGCTTGTGTTGCATGTTGTTTAAAAAAATTCAAGACTTCTTTTTTAATCGTTAGGAAAATTCAACGAAGGAAACCAAGAAAACAAACATTTAAAAAATCACTAATTTCATATTTTACTTGTTCACAGAATGGCAACACCGAAAATGATGCAGTGCACCATATGCACAGCGTGGGCGGTAGCCCATTTAATAAATTCTTTCGCCATGCATACCGAACAGGCTTCTTTCTCCCGGCATGCAACTGGCATGCGACCCCAGGGACCCCTCCACCACCCCCTGCGGGTCGGAACAAGACTCCTTGAGGTCACAAGTATCGCTTGACAAGCAGTGGCAAAAGCATGATTCAATTACTTTGCCTGCGCAACGCAGCCCACGGCGATGTTAAAAGGGGGCGGGTCCAAAGTGATTCGAAACAATATTGTTGAGCAGATGAGATTTATATAATACGCGTGATTCGAAATAATTCACCCGATTTCATGTCGGAAACTTACCAACACAAAGAAATAAACAATACGTAAAATGAAAGAAAAAAAATTGTCCACATTTTCCTTGTTTCCTGTAACTTCTTTACAACAAAATTCCAAGCATTATAATAATTTTGCGAACTTTTTTACAATTGCTGTAAGCGTTTTTGGTTGTGAGAGTTTCCTAAGTAAAAATGATTTTGAAAGTATTTTAGAACGATAAATGTTTATTTTGCATTTAAGAAGAGTTTACGAACTTATGAGGTATTTTCTTCCGCCTATCAGCATGCCTTCGTGATGTAACGGTAGCACACTTGACGCCTATTCGAGCAGCCCAGATTCGAGCCCTGGCGACGACAGTGAACA